TGAAAAGTTTAATAATGTGTATGAAGTACAGCTAGATATGAATGTCTAGAATTCTATTGCTCAGTAGGATGACTACAGGTAATGATAGTATACTGTTTATTTCTCTAAAAAAAGCTGGAGGGAAGTTATAGGGGGGAAAGCCATTGTAATCCATAAGCTGTACTTTGGAAATTTATATTCATTAAATGAAAGTTAAAAAAAAAAGCTGGAAAAGTAACAGAAAGGATGTAGGATATTTTCACCATAAAATGTTAAATGTTGACACTGAATGCACATTACTCAGTGTATCCCTATACATAAACATCACCTGGTGACTCATAAATATGTGCCATTTGCATGAGTTAAAAATAATTAATTCTTGATAATTTATATTAAATATACCTTCAAGATAAAGTATTAAAATTAGAAAGCTAAGTTAACATTTATATGTGTGTATATTTATATATATACATGTATGTATGCTTTATATTTGAAGAGAGAGCTGCTTTTCCTATAAGTGTTCAGTATTAAACAATTAAGATATCAATGATGGTGTAACTTGAACACATCTAAGGCTAGTCTATGTTTATATATAAAAAACAAAATATGTATGTTTTTGATATTTCTGGATGTTCATGAATTTTATAAATGAAAGCTAAAAAAATAGAGATAAGACTCTATACCCAGTTTTACAGCACAATAGTTTTCCTGACTTATTGTTAGAAGATGAGTAAAAATACTCACTAGGTTACTTATCAGTCATGCCATTAAACTCTAAGATGAGCCTTAGCATTGAAATATTTGTTTTCCATTTGGTATGCACATTATAAAGCTCTAAGCTTGATTCATCATAAGTCAATTTCTAAGTGTTTATTAAGTGAATGAATACATATTCTCAAAGGAAAATAATATAGTCCTTTCATCACACTTGCTACTTTCTGATCCAAATAAGGTTTAATGATACTTAGCTGTTAACTGAGGCTGTCTCTTCTAATATCCGTATGATTATAAGTTATCTTTTAAGAAGAGAAGTCCTCAGTGAATAATTAGCAGCAATCAAGAGAAGCTTAAACATGCCACAAAGGTAAAGTTCCTGTCAAGGATGCTTATCTTTGTAATACATCCTGTGAGGCAGGCAGAAGGCACAGGTCCCGAGCAGGGGATACTGAGGACCATCTCACTGGGGTGTTCCTCCAGCATCAATCTTCCACACGAGCATCCTCAGCCAATAATAGGTACTTCTGTTTTTTTGTGAAATGGATGGTCTGTACAATTTTTGGAATCATTCTGCCACCAGCCTGATTTATGCTAACAGGTAATGGTTTTTTCACATTTGAATTTTTAAGTGTCTCCATGGAATTAATCTTCACAATCTGTCTTTTTCCTCATTGTACCCAAACAGGTATAGTCAGTAAAATAACATGAATGCTGATTTCATATTAACAGCATGATCACTTGAATCAGCTTTTAGGAAATATTTATCACATCTCTCACGGATTTTGCAAAATGAAGGAAGTTTTAAAAAAAAAATAGAGCCAACACAGTGGAGCCAAATAATTACCTCAGTTCTAAATCGTAGAGGTTTAAAGGTGTAAACAGAAACATCTAAGGAGGTTAGGCCAATGAGAGCCTATTTGTAGTCCTGGAAGTGTTGAGAAATCTTATAAATCCCTTAAGTACAAGACGAAGGTACAGTGTACATACAGACAGCAAATTCAGTAGAGAGAGTCAACAAGGCAAACAGAAATAGATGTTTATATTTATGAAACTAAAAAGTTTTCTCTGGAGAATAATTCAGTTTCCCTTTTCTGAGTGATAGGACATCTAATTATGAGATGTCTTCAATTTCAGAAATCTTTAGATATCAATTATTTGCTAGAAGGTTATAGAATACTTACAGTAAAAAGTTGTAACAATCAATCCTCCAGTATTTATGTATTTGTTTACTTATATGGCTATTTTGAGAAATAAATGTCCTATCAATCTCTCTAGAATTTGGAGCAAAGGCTTTGGATTTTCTTTTCATCAAGATAGCCCCGTTTTCTAAATGATAAGCAACATGAAGGAATATGATGATTCAACAATTTCTGTGGATTTAGTATATAATGAGCAAAAAATTAAACAAATCTGTCCCAGTTGAAATTTGCTAAGATAGTGTATCTTAAATGTTCACATCCACTATCCCCTGTGACCAACACACAAAATATAACTATGGGAAGTGAAGAATGCATTAATTATTCAGTTGTGGTAATAATTTCATAATATAAATACATATATAATCACATCATACACATTTTAAATATATGCAATTTTGTTCGTCTGTTAGTTAGGCCTCCATAAAACTGGAAAAGGAAAATATAAAGGAAGAATTCTAATCTACCAAATCTGTAGGCCAAATTGGAACCAATTTGATGTAGGTAGTCATTTCATGGTCCTTTCTTTTGCTCCATAAGCATAATTAAAGTATCTTTTAACACATAACTGTTTTATAAAAGAGGTATTTATGTATTAATTTCATGATATGCTACCCGTGTTTTTGCTTACATAAGATTAAAGACATCTTACACAGGAAAAATTAGCTTTACAAAATATATATGAAATTATTAGTTATCTGTAAATTCAATCATATCAAATGCCCTAAAACACATTTTGAGGACTACTTTTATCAACAACAGTACCCATTTTTCTACGTTATGAAGCATTTTTACATATTGCCATCAATTACGTCTCAAAAAAAACATTTTAAAGATATGATCATTGAGACTGAGGGGCAGGTGTTAAGAATCACGACCAAGATCACTTTCTAACATTGACAGAGGCAGGAGCAAAACCCAACATATGTGTCAGACAAGGGATTCAGAATGTTCATGAAACGTGTGAATTATCTCCTAATTCCCTTTTTCCATGGATTTTTTGAAGCCTCCTCAGATTGACAGATTCTCTTCCAATGTGAAGATCTGTTGTCTTACAACCATCTGAATCTGGAATTTAGTGAGTTCGTCTTCCTTACCACCTTTAGTTGAAGTGTGTGCAAGTGAACTCAAGAACGGCCAGCATTTGTGAGCAACACACATTCATGACGTCAGCAGGACACTCAGAAGGATATGACTAATTCATAATTGTTTTCCCATCATGGATCAACTTTAGGCCTATAACCAGCCTCAACTATGGGTCGAGTAAACAGGAGTTAAACACAAACTTCCATGAGAAAATTTGCCTGAAGTTCAGTAGGGAACTAGAAATAGATCAAAGTAGCAATGATATATTAGTTTAAAAGACATTTGACTTTTTCTACAAACTCTAAGAATTGTTATTCAATTAGATTTATATGAATTTTTAAGATTATTACCAGTTGTGTACATATATATGTATATATAAATTATCTCTAACATGTATATATAAAGATTCATGATACACTGAGCTGAATCTGCATATATATACATAATTAAATATACATATATACATTAAAGAAAAAATAAGCTTACATAAGCTAGAAATATGAATGTGCCTCTTGTAATAAATTTTTTATGTATCAAAAATATTCCTTTGGGAATAAAGCTGAACAATGGCAAAAGCAGTTTTATCACTTTTAAAATGAGGAAGGTCACCTCTGCTTGCACTGATAATGGAAGCTAACACCTAAACTGAGAACTGCAGCACATTTTAACCTATTGTAAAACAAAACAAAAGAAAAAGCAGAAACCAGTCAGTTCAAGGGGGCAGCATTGTGGTGCAGCAGGTTAAACTGTCACCTGTGACATCACATCCCAGTTCTAATCCCAGGTGCCCTGCTTCCAAAACAGCTCCCTGCTCATGCATCTGGGAAAGCAGTAGAAGATGGCTCAAGTGTTTGTGCCCTTGCTACCCATGTGGGAGACCCAGATGGAGTTCCAGGCTCCTGGCTTCCTTTTGGAGAGTGAACCAGCAGAGAGAAGACCTCTCTGTCTCCCACCTCCTCTCTGTAATTCTGCCTTTGGAAAAAATCAATCAATTTTCAAAACAACTGGTCACTTTAGTTTCCTGAGCAAATCTTGACAGATGACAGAAGCCCTGTTGGTTTTCAACCTCAGGGTTTAAGTCTATGTTCCCTCAAACTTCAGAGAAGACAAAAAATAAACCATGTAGAGAACTGTGAATATATTTATTTATATAGTTTTGAAAGTAATATAGTTTAATCAGATTAACATGAAGTGTAGACTAATGTTTCAGTTTTAGGCTAACATTTCACCTTCATGGAACCTCACAGAAAAATAAGTTATTTTATTTCTTTTGATTTTTAGGCTGCTACAAAACTGACTTAACCAAATCCTACCCCTTAACTATCTATTTAACAATAGATTTTGCCAATTTTGTCCTTCAGCTTTCCTGTATTATATCAAATTCTAAATTACACATGGGGAAAGAGGGAAAGATTACATTGGTTACTTGTTCTTTAAGTCATCTAAAAACTGCACAGAAAAAGCCAACTTCAAGTTACTTTAAATCTTTGTCGAAAAATTAAAGCTTTGTTTTATAGCAAATGATCCTTGTAAATAGAATTGTATGTTTATATATATTTTATATAAATGAGTGAGACATTTACCATTCCATATAATTTTCACATTAGTGACATCAAAGCTCAATGTACTATAAAGACAAATTCCCACAGCACTATTTCTAGCCTTGTTTATTCCTTTCTATACCAGAAACAACTATTAAACACAACCACCATTGGCTCTGAAAGTGTTTTTGGTAGAAATAACACACTCTCAATTGTTCACACAGAGTTTTACGCTAATTATTTTCCATTGTTGAGATGATCTTCTTTAAGCTGTCATGTTTGAACAGAGAAGTACTTATTAAATAAACCCACAAGTGTTAGGTAATAATCATTTTGAAAATCTTCTTTTTATCACAAGTAATTATATCCTTCTGTAGGAATATTGGGTTTTTTGTTAAGTCCAAAAAAAAGTTGGCTCCTATTTCGATTCAAAGAGTTTTTTAAAATCAAAATTAAGAATAAAGAAAACAATGTCACTTACTTTGCTTTAGCTTCTGCATCCTCATAGGCTTTGTTAGAAACGTCATCCAGCCCTCCAATCAGATGCTTGAAAGAGCTATCAAAGGAAACACAGAGATTAGAATAACTCCTACTCCAAAGTAGTAACCAGGGCAACATAATCAATGACAGACTGAAGCAATCGAAGGGCATCTAAATAAAAAGGAATTCAAGCACTTAATACAGATACACTGTTATGAAACATATCAGCTCATCAGTTAATGGTATTTCCCTGACTAGGATAAAACGCTATAATACAAGCAATCTCTTGTACCTTGCTCACCTCTACAGCTTCCAGAATCTAACCATATGTTGCAAAAGCAGATATTCAAAGAATTGAATGAAATCAAGTCTTTGACACATTAATTCACGTATATCATTCAATTCATGAGGCATTTCATCTTAATATTGAATTAAAAACAAGATCTACCAATTGTGGAATGCCTACTATATGCCTGGTACTATTCTTTAAATTAGGATTAACATTTATTAATTCTAATTCTCAAACAAATTAGAAAAGACAAGCATCATTACCTCCATTTACCAAATATTAAGCTCATTTTCAATGGCAAAATAAATATGCAGAAGATGGGAAAACAATTAACAGGAAAGAATTCTAGAAAAATTAATGTATTTTAGGCGACTAAAGAAAAGTGACTTCAACATGAAACAGAAAGATTCGTTTAACTGTTTAAACCCAATCTGCTTAATTCCTGCTGTCATCTGGAAAGTGTCTAGATTTAATTGAAGTCATACATATTTATAATATAAAATATAATGGAGTCAATACAAAGAAGATGTATGTATACGTTATAGAACAACCCTTGAGGCCGGCGCCGCGGCTCACTAGGCTAATCCTCCACCAAGCGGCGCCGGCACTCTGGGTTCTAGTCCCGGTTGGGGCACAGGATTCTTTCCCGGTTGCCCCTCTTCCAGGCCAGCCCTCTGCTGTGGCCAGGCAGTGCAGTGGAGGATGGCCCAAGTGCTTGGGTCCTGCACCCCATGGGAGACCAGGAGAAGCACCTGGCTCCTGCCATTGGATTAGCGCGGTGTGCCGGCCGCAGCACGCCAGCCGTGGCGGCCATTGGAGGGTAAACCAATGGCAAAGGAAGACCTTTCTCTCTGTCTCTCTCTCTCACTATCCACTCTGCCTGTCAAAACAAAACAAAACAAAACAAAACAAAAAAAAACACCCTTGAAAATTATTGAATGCAACCGAATTACATTTTTTGTTTTTTGACAGGCAGAGTGGACAGTGAGAGAGAGAGAGAGAAAGGTCTTCCTTTGCCGTTGGTTCACCCTCCAATGGCTGCCGCTGCGCACCTCGCTGATCCGATGGCAGGAACCAGGTACTTCTGGTCTCCCATGGGGTGCAGGGCCCAAGCACTTGGGCCATCCTCCACTGCACTCCCTGGCCACAGCAGAGAGCTGGCCTGGAAGAGGGGCAACTGGGACAGAATCCGGCGCCCCAACCGGGACTAGAACCCCGTGTGCCGGCGCCGCAAGGCAGAGGATTAGCCTAGTGAGCTCCGGCGCCAGCCGTACATTAACTCTTATGCACACTATAATTCGCCAACCACTGAACACAGCTGAATGCAGAAAGTAAAGGAATAATAATACTCAGAAGCCCAGCACTCACAGGACCATCAGAGTCTTATGTGTAGGCCAGGCATTGCTCCATATGCTTTACATGCAGTAACGGATACCTTATGAATTACAGTGGTTCCATGAACTGGTATCGTTATTTCCATTTCATAGATGAGGATAGTGAGCATGAGAGGTTAAAAAAATACCTCAAAGGCATTCAACCCACCAAAATTGAAGACTGTCTGGAAGGAGGGGCCCGTTTTCCTTCACAGTTTTAAAATCTACATGATGCCTCCTATCTATGAAAACTGTCAACATGCACAATTATTAGGTATCAACCCCAGGATCAAAAATCCCCGGCAATATCTAGGATTTTGGTGGGGGAATTTTAAAGTGCTGTAAAAATTTACATATTAATTTTAAACCCTAAACACAGTGTGATATTTGCTAATTTAAACATTTTTAATTGCATTCACATATACCACTTTTTTTTTTAAGAACTATAAAGACAACATGTTGCCCTGCCAAGGGGCTGGCTGCAGGAGGACAGAGCAACTATCTCAGACCCTGGATAATGATCTCATCTGAAGGTCCAGAGGAACTGGAATGCTACCCTACACACACCAGGCACTTTTATACAAAAAGAAAATCACTAGACAGAGGCCCAGGAATCAAGAATTTTGTTGGAAAATACAAAGTTTTTTTGTAAAGAATTCTATTAGTTCACGCCAAACGAATGAATAATAGGCAGTAGTCCTCATGAAGTTTACAAAAATGTCCTAAAATGATGAAATAAATGACAAATATAATCCCCATTGTTGAGAAAATGTTCTGGTAAGATTTTTGCTATTGTTCTTGACATGACAACTTTTTCCACCTTTTCATGAAAGGTCTGGGTCCTTACCTAAACCTGGAGAAATTCTAAGACTAGATGGGTTCATATTATAAAGCAAAACACAATTTTCTGCACTATGAAAAATCAGATAATATTTGGCTGATTGTTTTTATAAACTAGCAGAGAGAGAGCTTAGGCTACTTGTCCAAAATGACCCATTCAGCAGCATTCAGCAACAGGACTACAATCTATATTCCCTAAGGCCCACACCTGCCCTTTATAACACTTGAATATTTTCAATACAATCAAATCTAAACGTGGAAAGCTAGTGAGAGGAATAAACGATTATGTAGTGAAACAAAAGAACAATAATCACTCAAACAGCTTTTCAAACCCATTCAGATACATTAAAAGATGCTATTCTTAGACATTTAAAACTCACAGTAATTTCGAGTTTAAACAGTTTTTTAAAAAATCTCCTAGTGTTCAAGCTGAGATGTTTTAAGCAGAAAAATATGTAAGCAAAGAAAATAAAATGAAGATAAATTCGAATGTAGACTTTTAAGAAATTCTATTCAGCACATGAGGCTAGGTTAAAATGTCAGATTGCTTTTCTTTTCAAATGCAACGTTAAATGCTTAGAGTAAAGTATACCAATGAGAAAGCTTGCATGTTATGAGGTTACACGGAGCTTTAAAGGTACACACCATCTAATCGTGGCAAGAAGTCCAGAAATAAGCTCAGCCTAACTGGGAAAAAGACCTCCTTTTAAACTTGACAAACAGTAAGGTTTTTTTTACAATCCCTTTTGCTAACTCTTAGCCATATCAAATGATAAAACAATAAAAAGAAATGAACACGTGTGACTTTCTCCATGTAAGTCTTTTAAACCTCCTTGACTTAAAATATAAAATTTTCTATGTAGTACTGACCTGATACTAATTTTTGTTACTAAATTTTTAAATTATTTTCACCTTAAAATTTGTACTATTAGACAAAGAATAAAATGTTACCTATTTACAAAATGACTTTATCTTGATGTGATATAACATTATTTGTGAAATAAATTCCTTTCCTTTTTGGTTACAGAAAACATTTAAAACCTGAAAGAAGGAATTATGAAATCATGTGTAATTTTCCAATTACAGATGAACTGTGGGGAAATTTTTATGCATGTCTTTTTTGCATATCTTTGTCACTATTTACAGTCATAATCATAAACTGTGAGTTAATATCTTGATATTTAACTTAGTTATATCAGAAGTACTTCTAAATACCCTGTAAGCAATATTTTAGTTGCTGAATAATTGAACACTACATGTTCATAGGTCAGACAGTAACCGCTTGTCCTTCTGTATACACACAAACATGCACACTAATGCACAGATGAAGAATAGAGTGTGATGGGAATATATAAATATTCACAATTATACTCTAAATTATAAATGAAGCAAATGAAATTTCTTTTCAAAATAACAATTACAATCTTGATGTTTGGAATTGGAATTGTAAGAAGACAAAGGTAACATTTTAAGCACTGAACACAAAGTAACCTGCTAGCATTCCAAAATCCCATAAGCAGCAAATCAACCACTATATTTTAATAGAAACATAGGAAACTGCAGAATTTTCAGGCAGTATTACTAAATTCTAAATGGCTGCCACTGGCTGGGATTCTTTCACTGATCAACAAATAAGATTAGATCTCTCAGGCCAAGGTTTGGTGATGTAAGAACAGCACTGAAGCACATGAAAGAACTGCTTTGGGGTCTGCGTTGTGGTGCAGTGGGGTAAGCCAGCACTTGTGATACAGACATGCCATATCGGAGCATCAGTTCAAATCCCAGCTGCTCTGCTTCCAATCCAGCTCCCTGCTAACGCACCTGGGAAGGTAGTAGAAGACGGCTGCAGTGCTTGGACCCCTGCCACCCACATGGGCGACCCAGATGGAATTCCAGACTCCTGGCATCTGCTTGGCCCGGATCTGGCCGTCATGTCCATCTAGGGAATGAACTGGTAGATAGAAGATCTTTCTGTCTCTATAACTCTGTCTTTCAAATAAATAAATAAACCTTTTATTAAAAAAAGAACTTATGTTATGAGATATAAACTCAATGTAGCTGTTTCTGGATCATTTTGGCAATAAATGAAAAGATAGGATATATTAAACTAGAAAAAAAAAAAAAGATTAGATCTCTCAATAAGAATAATCAGTGGTGTTAGAATGTATCACCCTTGAAGAAAGTATGAACTAACTAGTGTTTCTTTTTTCCCTTTCACATACACTCTGGAGGACCACCTGCCATCTGGGTAAACTCTTCTCAGATAGTCATTTTGGAAACCCATTAGTGTTGGTATCACTCGCCTTTCTAAATATTTTCTCAGGTCCTGTGACGTTTTGTGCATTCAGGAAGACTTACATTGTCATTCCATTCTGAATGGGCAAAATGTCGACTCCTTTAGCAACTGAACGTGAAACCATAAAATATGGTGTATCATTTTAACAAATTTTAACTAGAGGAAAATTAGTAAATCCTTTTTTAACAAACTCACAGATTAAACACAAATCATATTTTAGCACTGTTAAATAAAAGTCAATTTCTATATATCCTAGAATTAATTTCAGAATTAACTAA